AACTACTTAAGATACAAAAGGCAACACCTCACTTCCTAAATCTCTATACAGTTAAACTTTTTCACCCAAAATGCCTAGAGTAAGAAGTGTAAAACATAAGACATAAATCTTCATCTAAACACTTATAAAGATCACCATATCATAACAAGATCAAATTACGAGCCACAACGAATCCAAGAAATTACATTATGCACATATTCAATTTCAATTCCTAAATTCCACTAAAATTACTTAATTCTTCAAATATCCAGCATTTATCATACAGGCATGCTCCATATGAACAATGAGTAATAGGAATCCCATTATAACTCCTAAACATCAAAGAAAATGCATCACTTTCAAAACTAGTTTAACTAGTAATTCTCTAAAACTCATAAATTCAATTTTTTCCAAATGTCATCGTCGAATGAATGTAAATATGTAAACGTCATCAACAAGTACAATCTAGAAACCCTAGCCGCAATGAGTTCTTACAAGAGGTTCGGCAGGTGATTTTTGAGATGGACGGGGATAGTGCAGCTGGGCCTGATGGTTTTACTGGCAAATTTTTTACCTCCTCCTGGGACATAATTGGTGGGGATGTCTATTGAGCAGTTCAAAGTTTTTTCTGTGGGGAGGAGCTGCCCCGGCAAGTAACTGCTACTTCTATAGTCTTACTGGCCAAGGTTGCACGTCCGAAGAATTTCTCCGAATTTCGTCCGATCAGCTTGTGTAACTTTGATCTCTAAGCTTCCGGCACTTCGGCTTGCTTCCATCCTTCCCAAAATAATCTCTGAGAACCAAAGTAGCTTCATCCAGGGACAGTTAATCTCCGATAATTACTTGTTAGCTCAGGAATTGATTTTGACGATTGGACGGGCTGCAAGGGGAGGTAATGTGGCTTTGAAGCTAGATATGATGAAAGCTTATGATCGAGTTGTGTGGCCTTTTCTGATCAATGTGCTTAAAGCTTTTGGATTCGGAGAGCTATGGATAGATATAGTTTGGAGGCTTATCTCAAATGCCTAGTTTTCAGTGGTTGTAAATGGGTCGTCGTTTGGTTTCTTTAAATCAGCCTGGGGGCTTCGTCAAGGGGATCCTCTATCTCCTGCACTGTTTATCATTGGGGCTAAGGTGTTGTCGAGGTCGCTCAATAATTTACAGTGTCATCGAGGGTTTCAGGGGTTTCGAGTCCCTAAGGGATGTCCCCTAGTGACTCATTTGGGGTATGCGGATGATGTGTTGGTCTTCTCCAGTGCTTCGGTGAAATCGTTGAAACTCGTGAAGCATGTTTTAACTGATTATGAGGCAGTTTCCGAGCAAAGGATCAATGCGAGGAAAAGTTGTTTCTCGGTGCACCCGACAGCCTCTCCTTCCAAGCGATTGGAAATTCAGAGGATAACGGAGTTCTCGTATAAACATTTCCCGATTAAGTACCTCGGATTGCCACTTTATTGTGGACGTCAAAAGAAAGAATTCTTTGGGGGGTTGTGTCAAGCAGTATTACTTTGGGTGCTGTCCTGGCAGAATAGGATGTTGTCTCAGGGTGGAAGGATTGTGTTGTTGAAACATGTCCTCTCTTCTATGCCGACCTACCTTTTGATGGCGGCCTCTCCCCCCAAAGCTATTTTCAAGGAGCTTGAAGGTATGTTCTCCAATTTCCTGTGGGGGTTGACCGAGGGAGGTCCCAAATACCATTGGCTTCGGTGGAAGGATTTGTGTGTTTCGCGAGAAGAAGGGGGGATTGGATTACATCTACTGGAGGATATTCACAGAGCCTTCTCCATCAAGTTATGGTGGAATTTTCGTTCCAATTCATCCTTGTAGGCTTCATTTATGCATGCAAAGTTTTGTTGGGAGATGCATCCTAATCTAGCCTTTACCGATAAAGGTTCAGAGGGGTGAAGAAGGATGGTGAAAGTGCGAGCTATTGCTGAGAGGCACATTGGATGGATTGTTCATTCCGGGAACTCTAACTTTTGGTTTGACAATTGGCTTGGTACGGAGGGACTGGCAGATCGTTTGGATAGCATGTTAGATCACAAGGTGGCGGACTTTGGGCAAAGTGGTTCCTGGGACGTCCGCAGCATTTCACATTGGGTGCCTCTGGATATAGTAACGGAGATTGGCCGAATTGATCCACCTGATGGGCCGCTTCCTGATCTGATAATTTGGAGAACGGAGCAATCGGGCCGTTTTACGCTGAAGTCAGCTTTCTCCTTGGTTCAACATCATTCTGGGTCGTCGCCGCTATTTAAACGCATTTGGCATCAAGTGGTGCCGTTGAGAGTTTCTTTTTCCTTCTGCGCCTGCTGCGGGATCGCCTCCCTTTGGATTGTACTTTATGAAGGTTGGGGATTCATGGACCTTCTCGGTGTGCGTGTTGCCCCTCTCCTAGGATTGAGACTACAGAGCATTTGTTTGGTGCGAGAGTTATGGCACAATTTGTTTGGAGGTTTTTTGGGGCCGCGGTTGGAGTAGGCTGGACGGGGTCTTCGTTCCGCGTCCGTATGGCAGCCTGGGGGGATGGGCGGCATCGAAGTAAGCTCTTGGAGTTTGTCCATCAGGTTCTCCCTTTGTTGATCTGTTGGCATCTATGGAAGGCTCGGAACGCAATGAAATACGAGGGCAAGAGGATTGTGGAGGCACAGGTATGTCAATCTATCTTCTCCGAGCTGCAACAGTTGTTCAGGATCCAATTCCCGGAATTTCGAGCTCCGTCATTGTCATGGATTCGGTTTTATGTGGCCATCTCGACATGGAAAATGGCAGTTTCACATAGGTTGGTTAAATGGTTGTGACCCTCCCTCGGAGTCTAAAACTTAACACGGACGGTTGTTCTAAGGGTAACCCTGGCTTGAGTGGAGGAAGGAGGGTGCTTCGTGATGGGGAGGGGAAGCTGGTGCTGGCATTCTCATGTAGTTTCGGTTTGGCTTCGAGTATGCAGGCTGAGGCCCACCCCTGCTGTTTGGGATCAAGTTGTGTCTCCAAAGGGGGTTTGGTACCTTGGACGTTGAACTGGACTTGGTGGTTTTAGTCCGCATCTTGAATCGATCAGTACATTGCCCATGGGGTATTTACATGGAGGTGCAGCAGTTAATGGGGTTGGCGTCTCATTTTTCTCGGATTCTTCACTGCTATTGTCAGGCTAACCAGGTCGCGGGTACATTGGCAAATGCTGGTTGCCAGCGTGCCCGAGACGACATCTATCTGGCAGTTTCAGATTTGCCCCAATTAGCGAGAGGAGCTCTTTTTCTAGATAGGCTAGGAGTTCCATCTCTCCGCCAGGTTAGAACGATGTGAGGGAGTAGCATTCCTGAGCTATGGCGCTTGTAACCTTGGTTTGCATCTAATAAAACTTCCTTTTTGAAAAAAAAAATGTCATCAACAAGCAAAATTTTGGCTATTTGAATCATCCAATTATGTTTAATAACATTTCAAGACCAATTACCACATTGATCATAATATATGAATATGCATAAAATTGAAACATTGCATAGATCATCACCAATTCCCACATTGATCATATAAACATATTTAGAGATGTCAAATAAGCACAATAGAACTCATAACCATCAACAAACAACATCACAAATTCAACATTTATAGATTGTCAAGAAACTCGGGAAACATGTGAATGGCAAAATTTAAAATACCATGCTAAGTTGAAGAATATCACCTCCAATCGGTAGAGTGATGTTTTATGATGCAAGTGATGCAAAATCCCTACAAAATTTCACGCAAATTGGTCCCCAAATGATCAAATTTTAGATTTGAAAACCTTGAACTCGTGAAGATCAATCCAAAAGTTTAATTGTTTATGGATGCTTTTGATCAATGGAAGATTGTTCTAAAGGATGTTTATTGGGGGATTTAAAACAAGAAAATTGGGTGACAATGGAGATTTAGTGAAGTGGAGTGAGTATAGATGTGACGCCCCCACCTCTCCCCCGGGCGACCCTAGGGTATTAGCGGGACGCCTGCCCAACTTTCGTCAAGACTCACGCACTCGTTCAAGCCTAATATAGAGCCACAAAACAACCATCGGCTTAAATAAGAAGTACTAAGAATATACAAGCCACAACTCTAAGGTTAACAATTATCATGACAAACCACCAACTAAGAGTAACAAAAGTTACAATTTAAGAGTCACTAATTTCATTCAAAAATACTAGCTTCCACTGAATCGCTAGTCTAGATCCTCCAATCCACTTCCAAATCCTGTTAAGGAAAACAAACTTAAAGGGATGAGTGAACGCTCAGTGAGGCCAAGAAAACAGACAAGCGAGCAACACCAATCAATCAAATAATGTGCTTGAAAGCAACTTTAAACATGGCATTTTATTCAAGTGCACAAGTAGGAATTAACACACAAGGAGGATACAGGAGCTCTCAGGAGCTATTTCCACATCCCGATCAAGTTGAGCCGTCTGGGGTTGACCCTCTATCAACCCAAATAATAACACGACCGTAGTGCTCCACTTACTTCCTCTATCCAACATAACACTCACTCGGATCCGGAACCAAACATGTATGAAGTGACAATGCTATTCGAGTATACCTAGCGAGATCTTAAAAGATCAAGTTATAATATTTCCCAAGGTTTACCAAGTTTCTCGACCAAACCCTTGCCGGCTCGAGTTACAAGGTTAACCAATGGGTTGGGGCGCCCCCAGAAGTATATTTGGTCGACGAGACAACGCACCAATCGACTTTGAATCGGTCATAGCACTGAGTCGGGATAAGCGGTACCTCCCACCCGAATAGGACATGATACTTCTAGCCGCTCAGTGCTCACGACTTAAAACATGTTCATGTTCAAGTGCAAGTCATGTATATTCATGTAACAAGTATCATGTAATCAGGAGAGAGAGAGGATGAGGGCGATAAAGTACACCCTCGTCTCGACAAATTCATGTATCATATATAGCACTTGTACACGTATCATTTCAAACACATTAGCATTTAACATACACTTGACACTCACCAAAAGTCAAGGCAAATAAGAGCAAAGTGAGAAGTCAGACGAGCTCTTCGGCATCCTCGTGACCACCTGAGACAAGCACAATCACAAGTACCTAGGTGCTCGACCAAGGTTATAAAGTAAAACATTTCTTGCTACCCACTCTCAAGGTCATAAGTTCGAGTCAAGTTAAAAGAGTTTTTCTCGCTAAATCATTGAAATAATGCTCAAAGAGAGCTCAAAGGTCATTTTTTGATTCAAGCCGTAGTATGTAATCTCAATTCTAAAAGAAAGTACCATTTTTACTTTCGGCACGAAAATCGAGGGAAAAAGGATAGACGGATTTCATCTCTTAAAACTTCAAATCTCATGTCCAAGCTTTTGAACAGAAAGAGCGTTTCATATTTTTCAAACTAATGGAGTCAAAACTCATCCAAAACTCCACTCATATGCATAGGAAATGTCAAGGCTAAAGGTTCCAAGATTCGAGTATAAAACTAGTGAAAATTCTCCAATATTTACTCTAGTCAAAACGCTCCCTTTTAAAAGTTCAAACTCATGTAAATCTAGGGCATAAGAATAGGGTGCCAATAACCAAGGAAGTTAACAACCAAAAAAAAATGCATTAAGGAAGGTTTAATCCTTTGGAAACCAAGATTCAAAATGAAGGTTTAATGTTCAAAAGTGACCTTGTGTCCAACCATGAAATTAAACTTAAAATGAACTACAATCTCAAAGGGAGGTTGAAAGTGTTTAAAAGAGTACTTTGGTTGAAACCAAAAAATTTCTAACTTGGTGCAACACTGCTTGGAAAAAATCGTATCTCGAGTTCCGTAAGTCTAAAAATTGGAAACTTTATACCGTTAGAAACAATATCAATGCACTAAAACTCTCTACAAGACACTTTTCTCAGACTCCAATTCGAAATCATTCAAATTTTAGTTCAAAGTCACTGTTCCAGATAGGACAGAGCAAAACAGGCTTGCAATTTCATCAATGTTTGGAAATTCGGCAAAATTCGTAGAAATGGAATCAACACGTGAAATTTATACCACTAATAGTGTTCTAAATCTAGTTTCAAATAAAATAACCGGAACCCAATTTGGACCTTTCAACATCAAGATACAATGGTTTTAAGAAAACTTAATTTTGGAACCTGTTTACGAAATTTCCAGTTTTGAAGGATTGACAGAGTTTCAAAATCTGACCATAACTAAAGCTACACAACTCAAAATTTAGTGTGATTGGTAGCATTGAAAACTAGATTCAAAAGGCTACAATTCACTAGAAGGAACTGTCTTAAAATTCGTTTTGCAAGATCGGTGAAATTGAGCTACAAACTGCAGCTAGGCTAGTTTCTCGAATGAGAACAGTGAGGAAATTCAGTCATCTTTGCCGGATCACTACGGCTCATAGGAAACGAATTAGGAGGAGAATTTTATACCAACAGAAAGCTCTCGGAGTCTAATTTTGGATGCCATAAATGACACTCGATTTCAACTCCCAGACAAAAAGTTATGACCCAAAACGTGAACACTGGTTGGTGCTCCTGGTTAGAAATTTTTCCAGAATTCATCCTCACTTTAACCCTACTTTGAGACAACCAATTGAAAAGCTTTTTGGAAGATATTCAACACACATAACCACTAACATGTCTCAAACATTATTGCACTAGAATAGCATCAAAATTGAAAATTAACATGAGGGTTTCAACAAGCCAAAATTCGGACAGCATGCACCTCTCATCTTCTAGCTTTCTTTTCTAACTTTCCAACTAAAACTGAACCATATCTTCTCAAAATAAGCATCAAACAAGCAATTAAACATACAAAATCCTCAAGGCCTCTACCTACAAAGCCACCTCAAATCCACTACTTAATGTCAAGGTTCTTGTGAACCCATCAACAACCCAACAACTAACTAACTATAACTAACTACTACTAAGATTTGAGAGGAAAAGTTGAGGTTTCTTTGGATGATTACCTTGCTGCCAAGAAGAAGACTAAACACTAGGGTTTGAGCTCTTAAATCACCAAAGTTTCCTCCTTGTTCAAGTCACCTTCCAAGCTTGCATGAAGAACCAAAAAAAGAAGCAAATTTGGAGAGTTTTCTTAGAGGAAAATGGAAGACGAGAACTGAAATTTTTGAGGGGAAATGAGGGAGGGGAGTCGGCCAAGTGAGAGGAGAGGAAGAAAGGTTGGTGGTTGTTCGGTGATTTGATGGGGTGTTAGAAGGATTGACATAAAGGTGTTCTTGGTGCCTAGAAGTCAACAACCGATTAGTGAGTAATTAGTGCTCCTAATTGAGCTTAACTTAACTCACACACATCTAATCCCTCAATTAACGTTTCTTAGTCTACTATTAATCATCCTTAATTCTCTAAGATTAATGTACTCTCACATCGCATTTGCCTCAAAAAACGTGCATTCGCGATTTGTCGCAAAACGAATCATAGAAAAATTAAATTCGCTAACGAAACGTTTTAAAAATATAAATGAGACATTGTTCCGTGTAAATGGATTTAAAATGAATGAAATAAATTATTCGGAATAAACGGATAAATAAATAATTAAATAAGCCAGTAAAATAAAATAAAAGTAAAAAAAATTAAAATTCGGGTCCTCACATCCTTTCCCCCTTAAAAGAATTTCGTTCTCGAAATTTATACCTTGATTCAGAAACAACTCTGGATATTTCTTCTGGATCTCCTCTTCTACTTCCCAAGTCGCTTCCTCCACTCCCTGGTTTCTCCATAAAACCTTCACTAGAGGGATTTGCTTGCGTCCTAACTCCTTCATTTTTGGATCTAAAATCTTTACTGGTCTTTCTTCATAGGACAAATTCTCATCAATCTCTACCTCTTCTGGTCGTAACCCATGAGACAGGTCGGGATGATATTTCTTAAGCATGGAGACATGGAAGACATTATGAATCCTGAACAAACTCAAAGGCAATTCCAACTTGTAAGCTACACTCCCTACGCGTTGAATAACCTTATAGGGTCCCACAAATCTCGAATGTAATTTCTTCCCTTTTCCCGTCATTAGACTTGCTTTCAAAGGTGTAATTTTAAGGAATACTTTATCTCCAATCTCGAACTAAAAATCTTTCCTCCGATTATCCGCATAGCTCTTTTGGCGGTTTTGAGCCGTTCGAATCCTCTGACGTATCAGTTTCACCTTCTCATAAGCTTCTTCAACCCAAGGTACAGTAGTCGGCTCCGAAATCTTCTTTTCTCCAACTTCGTCCCAATTAATCGGAGATCGACACTTTCGACCATAAAGAGCTTCCTAAGGAGCCATTTGTATTGAAGAATAAAAACTATTGTTATAAGCAAATTCCACTAACGTAAGCTACTGACTCCAATTCTCTCCAAAGTCCATAATACATGACCTCAACATGTCCTCTAGGGTTTGGATTGTCCTTTTCGATTGTCCATCGGTCTGCGGGTGGTAAGTGGTACTAAAATTCAGCTTAGTCCCTAGGTATTCTTGCATCTTTTGCCAAAATCGAAACACAAACCTAGAATCCTGATCTGAGACTATACTCACTGGTATCCCATGCAATCTTATAATCTCATCCAAGTACAACTTAGCCAACTTTTCCAAAGAGTATTTCCTACTAATCGGCAAAAAGTGAGCAGATTTGGTCAATCGATCCACTATTACCCAAATAGCATCGTGCCCTCTCTGAGTCCTTGGTAGCCTTGATACGAAGTCCATTGTGATATTTTTCCATTTCCACTCGGGTATCTCTAACGGCTGTAATAATCCAAACGGTTTCTGATGCTCGGCCTTAACCTGCTGGCAAGTGAGACAAGTTCGAACAAATTAAACAATCTCTCTCTTCATATTCTCCCACCAATAAAGGCTTTTCAAGTCTTGATACATCTTATTGTCTCCAGGGTGTACCGTATACTTAGAACGGTGAGTTTCATCTAAAATTTCCTTCTTTAGACCTCCATTCTTGGGTACCACTAGGCGATTTCTAAACTTTAACACTCCATCGGTCCCCAAATTGAAATCAGACTTTTCCCCTTTTTAAACTTTTTAAACCCATTTTTGCACTTCAGGGTCTTCTTTTTGAACTTCTTTGATTCAATCTAATAAGTAGATTTCACAGTAATATTTCCAAAGATTACTCTCTGTGGCTTAAGACGTGGATTCCAAACACTAACTTCTTCTAGGATGTGACATTTTCTCACCATTAAACTAGCCACTTGCACTTTACGACTTAGCGCATCCGCTACTGCATTAGCTTTTTCGGGGTGGTAGTTAAGCGAACAATCATAATCCTCCAAAAATTCCACACATCTACGTTGCCTCAAATTCAACTCCTTCTGGGAGAACAAATACTTAAGACTCTTGTGATCTGTGAAAACCTCGAAAGTCACTCCATATAAATAATGTCTCCACTTTTTCAAGGCAAACACTACTGCCACTAACTCCAAATCATAGGTCGGATAATTCCGTTTATGAGGTTTTAACTTACGAGAGACATACGCAATCACTCTCCCGTTTTGCATCGATACATACCCTAAACCATCCTTTGAGGCATCTATATAAACCACGAAACCATTTCCTCCGCTCGGCAATGCTAACGCAGATGCCTCAGTCAAACACTTTTTCAACTCTTAAAACTCTTTCTCACATTTAGAATCCCATAAATTTACCATGCTTCTTGGTCAACTCAGTTAAGGGTTTTGCAATCTTAGAAAAGTGTTTAATAAACCGACGGTAATATCCGGCTAACCCTAAGAAACTCCGAACTTCGGTAGGGTTTTCTGGTCGCTTCCATTTAGAAACAGTTTCTACCTTAGTTGAATCTACAGTAATTCCCTCCTTAGAAATTATGTGACCTAAAAAGGCTATTTCTTCCAACCAAAACTCACATTTATTGAATTTAGCAAAAAGTTTGTGCTCTCTTAGGGTTTGCAAAACTATCCTCAAGTGTCGTTCATAATCTTCTCGAGACTTAGAGTACACCAATATGTCATCAATGAATACTACCACAAATTGATCCAAGTACGGCTTAAAAACCTGATGCATCAAGTCCATAAACGCTGCTAGCGCATTAGTTAACCCAAAGGCTATAACTGCAAATTCAAAGTGCCCATATCTTGAATTGAAAGCGGTCTTAGGCACATTAGCTTCTAGGATCCTCAATTGGTTATATCCTTACCTCAAATCTAACTTGGAAAATACCACTGCCCCTTGCAACTGATCGAATAGCTCATCTATGTGAGGCAGAGGGTATTTGTTCTTAATGGTCATATCATTCAAGTCTTGGTAGTCTATGCATAGCCTCAAACCCATCTTTCTTCGTAACGAAGAGCACTGGAGCTCCCCACGGTGAGTCACTTTCTCTGATAAAACCTCTTCCAAATAAATCTTGTAATTGCAACTTCAATTCCTTTAATTCAGTTAGAGCCATCCTATAAGGTGTCTTAAAAATAGGGGCGTCTCGGGAGCCACATCAATCTTAAACACTATTTTCCTCTTCGGAGGTAACGTCTCTAATTCCTCGAAAAAGACGTCGGGAAACACCCTTACTACCGGCACATTTTCCAACTTCACCTTATCCTCAGGTGTATTGATAGGAAAGGCTAGATATCCTTTAACTCAACTACTCAATAATTTCCTATCTCAAATCCCCGAAATTAAAGCAGACGATGCTGGTCTACCTCTTACATCTAATTTCAAAGTTGCTTTCCCAGGAATGTACAACTCTATAAGTTTCATCTTACAATCCAATTGAGTATGGTACCGAGCTAACCAATCCATCCCAAGTATCACATCATACCCCTTAATTGCTAAACTCATTAAATCCGCCAACAATTTTCTCTCACCAATCCAAATTTCACAATTCCTATAAACTTTATTAGCAATCAGGCATTGGTTCCCCGTAGGAGTCTTAACCTCTAAATCAAAAGGCAAGAAATCACACTTTATATCTACACCCTTCATAATGTTAGGATCTATGAAAGAATGGGTTGCCCCGGGATAAATTAAAACTCTAGCTAAGCGATAAAAAAAAGGAATCGTACCTTCAACCACTTCAGTTGGGTTAAGGATTTAATGATTGTCTAAAGCGTAAACTCTAGCTGGCACTTTCGGTCAGCTCCCTCTGGCACTTGACTGCTTTGATGCAGACCTAGCAGGCTATTGGGTATTTCCTCCTTACTTAGAGGCACTAGGGTAACTCGAAATCTGGTGCTCGGCACTACCACAAATCAGACATTTTCCTTACTTTATCCAGCATTTGGCCTCAGTGTGATTAGGCTTGTTACAATATCCACAAATCACATGAGGGGTCACAGCCTGACTAGTTTGAAAATTCCCTTTTTGCTGACCTTGTGAGACCCCGAAAATTTACTTGTCTTTATAATTCTTTTGTGAACTCACTTACCTTTGATTCTTGGTTACTTTAATGGTTGAATTTGAGCCAAGGAAGTGAATTTTGTTAAGAAAAGGTTCATAATCTCAAGTTGTTAGAAAATCTAGAAATTTTCGCAGGAGGCTCTGCGCAGCTTTGGGAAATTGGCTATAACTTCGTATAGGAAAATCGGAATTGAGTTCTGTTTGTTGCGTTTGAAACTAGACTTATAGAGCTTCCTACGGTGTAAAATTTAGAATTTGATTCAATCTCTATAAATTCTAGAAAATTGGCGAATTTGACTAAAAATTCTGCCTTGCACAAGTAAACATAAGAAAGTTGTAATAAATTATGGCTCAATTTGGACCAACTTATGAGCTGAATCTCTTTGAGGTGTTTTCTAAAGATAATTAGTATTTGAAGTATAGGTTTTAACAAGCTAAGTTGTAAGAATTTTTGATAATTATAACTCAAGTTATGATTTTTCTAAATGAAGGGTATTAGTTAGGGTTTTTGTGCATATTAGGATTTTTGGTGTGTCTTTGGTGTATTTTGGTGGTGTGATCACTTGGTGAGGTGTGTGTACTAAATTTGGTGATTAAGAGTGAGTTTTAGATAAGAAAAAGTGTATGATTAGAAGTAATAATAATAAGTTGGTGAATTATAAGTGAAAAACCCTAGTACGTGCGAAATAACAAAAAACGGCCCGAACCGATGTGTGCCGTTCGTTATCGATTGAGTGCACCACTTGAACACCACTTTATTACCTTAATCTCCTTGTTATTAATTGAGCAAAATCAGCCCTAAAATATCTCCTAAAGCAGCCGAAATTTTGGACTAAAGAAAAGGGAGAAAAGAAAAAAATAAGTAGCCATCTTGAGTTGACACTTGTTGGCAATCCATGGAACTTTGACCAAATGAGTTTCCTTCCTTCTTATCTTTCTTCTTGGCTCCATTCTCTTTCATTTTTCTTCCATCTTGGCCGAAAATAAGAGAGGGAAAAGAGAGAAAAACAACTTCAACTCCAACCTTGATTCTTCCTTGTTGAGCTGAAATTAACCGAACCAAACCGATTAAATTTACCTTTTGGTGCTTGGGAGGCTTGGTGTGCTGAAATTTTGGGAAGATAGTGGTGTGTTTCTCACTACAAGGGACCTTTGGAAGGTACCATGGCTGCCTATCCCTTTTCTCTTCTTTAATCTTGTTAAAGTTTGGTTAGAAGCTCTTAATCTTGCCTTATGACGGTTAATCGGTTAGTTTTGATTGATTTGTTGGAATATGGAGCTAGGGCTTACATTTTCAGCTTTGATTATAGTGATCTACCTCTTAATTGATGTCATTGAGCTTGTAATTGGTGGTTTTGATGATAGAGTACTTGTTAGATATGAATTTCTAGAGTAAAGGTGCAAATTCCAGAATTTGGAAACCAATTTATTCTGTTCTGACCAACTTCATTCGTCCATGTTAGGAGCCGAATCAGGCTTAGGTCAAAACATAAAAGTTGTATGAAATGATGTTATATAGTTTCCTACAAAATTTCAACTCAATCAGAGCACTGTATCATGTGAAATGATCAAAATACCCTTGACTGCCAAATGTACAGTTTTGCGGGCAGTTTCTGTTTTCCTCTGAGATGTCACATTTTGATATTGAAAATGCATGAACTGGT